TTGGTACCAAGTCTAAAAAATTATACGTAAAAATTTTCGAGTCAAGTATCAAATATAACTCATACCCAATATGTACCAAAAAATACTCACCCCTACCTTTGGGTTAGTGATAATATGCACTTAATTTGTTTGATTAGTTTCTCAAAAGATTTTATGTGCTGTTATTTTTTAAAAAAAATTTCAGGTATGGAGATTGCAAAAAATCAAGATGTTCTAATAATTAAAATGTCGGAATTTCTTATGAAATTATTTAAATATCATTAATGAATCAACATATATTAAGGGTATTTAAATAATTTCATAAAAAATCCTAACATTTTATATGTCAAGACATCCTGATTTTACTTTTCTCTCAAAGAAATTTTAAGTTATTTTTTTGATACATCTGATGATAAGCTATACAAAAGAGGATATTCATCCCTTTTTCCCAAATCCCTTCCCACCTCACTTAAGATTTAAACCCAAAAATCTTCAACTTAGAATCTCAGGTTCTTAATCATTTAAGCTAACTCCTTTAGGTATTTTCAATTCCTAAATGACCACCACATACAACATATAATCCATATTAATTCTCTAAAAAAAGGTTTTTTTTTAATACAAACTATACTTTTTTGTGTGATTCGATATTGAAATTATAAAAACACTATTAATAATAAATACAGAGGGTGGTTTATTAAGGGTATTTTGGTTATTTTAGTACCTAACTGCACAAAAAAAGTATAGTTCGTACTAGAAGAACACTTTTTAAATTTTTTATAAACCTTTCGTGGTTGAACTTTGTTGAGGGTCAATTTTAACAAACAAAAAGATAAGTCCACATCATTGTTTGCGTCAGATTGGTCACCCAAATTTAAAGTCAAACAGAAGGGTAGTCAACAATATTCGAAGAAATTGTTATTTTCGTTTAATCAATATTCAGAAAAATGAGTCAATAATTTTGGTCAGGGCAATTATTATTCATTATATCCATAACAAAATATAAAGCTTGGGGAGAAATCAAGCCAAATACTAGAACTATTGGGGGTAGTATCTTACAACCTACAATATTACCATTCATTACAACCAAAAGCTTAGCACCACATTGCCTACCAAAAAACAGATAATATGCGTAGATATGGAGACAAGAGGTACAGTTCTAAAGCGTGGTATGGGAAATTCTAAAATATTATAGGCAAAAACCAATAGTTTGCCCTTCAACTATTTTAGTTTAAGGCATTTTACCCCTTAATTTACAATATATGAATTTTTACCCTTCAAGTTTTCGAGTTTAGGGAAATGAGGCAATATTTAACACCGAAGGGTCACATATAGCACCTGCATCATTGGTCTCTGTTATACATGTACATGTCAACGTCAATGCAAACTTTTTTGACATGTTAGCAAGTCCAACTTGGACCCCTCATGAGCAATAATTATATCACTAATAATTTTACCTTGTAAGCCCCACTCGCTGATTTATAATTTGATTTTTTTTTTAAAAAAGTCAAATGAATACAAACAAATCAATTTAAATGATCCCTAGGGTTAAAAAACTTTGAATTTCCTTCTTTGATCCATCACGTTCACACCCATTTCTCTCCTCCTTTGTTCAATGGCTACTTCCAACAACTCTGGAACTTCACCATTGATGGAATTTGGAAGATACGACTATGATTATGAAGAACCATGTCAGCTTTGCTTTTGTGGTTTGAAGGCTTCGAAAATCATGTCTTGGGAGTAAGAAGAATCCTAGTTGGAGGTTTTTTGGGTGCCCAATCTATGATGCCATAGTAATTTCTTCCCTAATTTTTTATTGTAAACTAGTGTGTTGTTTAGGGGTTTTATTTGTTAAGATATTTCAGTGGTATTGTGTGGTAATGTTTAGGGTTTTGCTTGGTATGGAGATTGAGTTTTGATTCCATGTTAATAAAATCTAATTTTTGACATTTGCAAAAGAAAAAGCAATAATGTAAATATTTTGTGTGGTATGATTGAGATTTCTCTATTAGGGCTAAAGAAGTTATCTTGTGGCTATACAACACTAAGATAGGATTGGAAACTGATTTGGATGATGCAAAAGAAAGGATCAAAGCTCCTAAGAATGTTCTAAAGTGTCATGATGAAAAAAGAGAGCAATAGATTGAGGCATTGGAGAACAAAGTTAATGACTTGCAAATGGTGGTGACACTAACAATGGTGTATGTTGCCAAGCTGGAGAAATGGAAGAAGTGTTTCAAATTTCTTTGGTCATGGTTGTTTTCCTTGGTATTCTACTCGCTTTTTTCCTATTTAGTAGTTGGACTTTAGGTGTTGATAATAATAAGGGTCTCAAAAGGCTTAGAAATTAAGAAGCTAGGCAAATGGGAAAAGTTGTATTTTTTCGACATTATCTATTTTTGGTAAGCAATATGGTGCTAAGCTTTGGCTTGTTTTAAATGGTATATTGAAGGTTGTAAGATATTGCCCTCAATAGTTTTAGTATGGGGCTTAATTTCTCCCCAAGCTTTGTATTTTCTGATGGATATAATGAATAGTGGCTGCCCTTTTTAGAATTATTGACTCATTTTTCTAAATATTGGTCAAATAAAAATAACAATTTCTTTTGAATATTGTTGGCCACCCTTGTGTTTTACTTTGAATTTGAGTTGACGATCCAACATAAACAATGACATGGACTCATCTTTTTGTTCATCAAAATTAACAGTCAACGAAGTTTAACCACAAAAGGTTTATAAAGAACTTAGAAAAATGTTTTTCAATAGAAATTATACTTTTTTTTGTACAGTTGGATACTAAAATAATTAAAATACCCTTAATATGAAACCCTCTATATTTATTTATTAATAGTGTTTTTATAATTTCAATAGTTGAACTACATAAAAAAATTATACTCGGTACAAAAAAAAAAAAAAAACACCTTTGTCTAAAGAATTAATATGTTTGGAATTTTAAGTTGTACATGGTGACCATTTAGGAATTGAAAATACCTCAAGCGGGTGGTTCAACTAATTAAAAACTTGAGATTCTAAATTGAAAATCTCATATTTGAATTTTAACTTAGGTGGGGAGTGATTTGGAAAAAGGGGAGAACTATTTACTCTTGTATAGCTTATCATCATATATACCAAAAAAAGAATTGAAAATATCTTTTAGAGAAAGGTAAAAATCAAAATGGCTTGCATTTAAAATATTAAGATTTTTTTATAAAATTATTTAAATATCCTTAATAAATTTACATTTATTAAGGATATTTAAATAATTTTATAAGGAGTTCTAATATTTTAATTGTCAAAACATCTTGATTTTTCACAATTTCTATACTTGAAAAATTTTTTTAAAATAATAATAGCAAAGAAAATTTTTCGAGAAATTAATCAAAGAAATAAGTGCATATCATCACTAATCCAAGGGTAGTGGTGAGTATTTTCAAGTACAAGTCAAGTATGAGTTATATGTGGTATTTGATTTGAAAATTTTTGGGTATAGCTTTTTAGATTTGGTACCAAACCAAATACTTAAACACTTATACTTGGTGTTTAACCCAATAAGTACTGAATAACTTATAGGTATATACTAATGTACTTAGTTTAAGGAAAGAAAATGTTTAATATGAGATGATATTGTTACTTATGTTATGTGTTTGGATTAGGATTTATAATTTATACAAGTTGTTGTTACTGTGTGTGTGAATTTTTTAGTTTATATGCCTTACTTAACTTTTATTTCTATTTTTGTATTTTATTATCTTTAATCTTAAAAATTATTGTTATTATATAAATATTAAATATAATAAGTACATAT